CTCCTTCTCCTTCCCACCGGCATGCTTCCGACCCCTGGGCTGGGCGCCCCGTGCCATGGGCATCCCTGCCGTCTCCTCCCCTCTCGGCACAGCATCCTCCGGCCACCGGCCTGGCGTCTCCGCTCTCTTTCTTTCACTAACTCCTTCCTCCCAGGCCGTGCACGGGTCCCCCACGGGGGACACTGTCAGGGACGGTGGCTCCCCATTCCCCGCTGCCAGCTTTGCCCGGCTCCGGGCTTTCTGTGTCCCTTGGAAGTGGGCTCACATGTCGGCAGAGCCGTGGGGCTCCGGCTGGTTGAGGGGAGGATGGCGAGGCGAGGCGATGTGCAGGAGGTTTTGGTAGGGTCTATAAAAACATCGCCGAGCCGCCGCTTTGCCCTGCCCTGGGAGGGGATTGTGTCATCCCCGTGGGCAAGCGGGCTCAGGGAGGCCGTGGCATCCCCGGATTCTGGGGACACCCAGCATCCAGCCCACCCTGACAGTGTCACCCCCCCCTGAGCCTCTCCCCTCCGGACTAACGTGGGTCGGTGCATGGGCCGGGGAGCGCGTGGGGCGCGGGCAGCCTGGGGCTCCGTCCCTGTGTCCCTCCAGCCCCTCCGCTCCGAGGGGGACCGCTCCGAGGGCGGGTGGTAGGAGGGCGGAGGGCAGTGCTCGGCGAGCATCTCGCCGGCTTCGGGCAGCTTCTGCTACCAGTTTCCCCAGTGGGGAAGCACTGTTGCCACTGCAGTCCCATCAGGACCACCCCCAGTTCCTCTGTCCCTTCCGAATCTGGCCCCAGCATCCGCAGGGAGGCTTCCCGGGGGCTGCCGGCACCCGCTTTCTGGCAGCTCCGACACAATTCGAGACACATTAGCTGAACGGCAGCAACGGCACCGTGACGGCTCGTGGGTTGCCCGACCGGGTGCGTGAGATGGTGTGACTGGTTTGCCCAACTCGGGAGAGGGGCCAGTGCCGAGCAGAGGAGGTTGTGATGGTGACGTGGCGCAGGCAGCGCGGTGCAGCCGTGGGGATGGCAGAAGTGTGAATGTCCCCATCCTCTGGGTGCCCCAGGAGGAGCTGGCATGAGCAAACCCTCCGGTGGGAGACGTGAACGTCCCGGCTCCCCACCCCTCCTGCCCTTCCCAGAGCCAGCGGCTCTGCCAGGACCCTTCTCACCTCTCGACAGAGGTTGGTCACCACCGTGGCCGTTGCCCCTGTGTCACAGCCAGGGCACAGGGCCAGCGGGCAGCTCCACCAGCCTGATTTGTTTGCTTGAGGTCCCCCATGCTGCTGCTTAGTCGTGTCTGCGGGGTTCTATACACTGGGGTGAGGGGTGACCCCCCCAACCGGCACCGGCAGAGGATTTTGCGTGCGTTTCTGGAGGGCGTATGGGTCTCGCCTCTGGCCGAGGACATGTAATGGTGCTGGGTATGGCCACGGGGAAGGCAGAGGTGACAGAGGGGAGATGGCTCCTAACAGCGTGGGGCACCTAACAGCACTCACCGCGATGCCACCCTGGGGACGCCTGCTGGAAGATGGGTCTTGGCAAGAAGAGCGCAGTGGGTCCGGCAGCCAGGCTGTGCCGAGCTGTGCCGCTGGCCAGATCCTGCCTTCTGGAGCTGCATGACCTGGAGATGGCCAAGCAGCGATGTGCGGCGTGGCCAGCTGGAGCGAAGAGGTGGCCAGAGGGAGATGTTTGCCCAGAAGCGGGCCTGGGGGACAGATGTCCCATTTCAACCTGGTGGCTCAGCCAAATCTCCAAGCAGCGGAGGGCACGGAGAAGCACCCAGCAACACCAGAGGAGTAGCTTGTAGGAGCTTCAGCTTCTCAGGAGACCTGCAGACCCCTGGTGTGGGCCATCTGCATCCGTCCTCACTGCTGGGCTCCATCCTGGAGGAGGCCACCTCTCCTGGTGGGCTTCGGAAGGTGCCACAGGGATGGAGGGGTAAAAGTCTAAGCAGCTCCTTGGTTTGCTTCCTTTTTCAGGATTATATCTTCTACCTGGAGCCAGACAAGCTGGAGTCGGGCAAGGGAAAGTGCTCCTACGACCCCAAAGTAGACACCGTTTCTGCGTTAATAAGTGAGTCCTGTAGCTCCCTGGGACACCAGGGCTGGCGCTGCCTGCCTTGAGGAGAAGGAACGTGCAGGCAGGATGGGACAACTGCTCCCACTGTCTTCCTGCATTGCCCAAATATCCCCAAGGAGCCAGGTTCCTGCCCCTGCTACCCCTGCCCGCTCCAGCTGTGGATAGCCGGGCACCCGGGATGCCCAGCCCTTGGGCACCTGGCCCAGTGGAGGTGAGGGTCGTGGTTACAGACCAGTGCCAACCTCCTGAGCTCTCTGGGATGGCCACAGGCAGTGGCTCTTGGTTGCTTGGTGGCTACCAGCTGGGGCTGAGGCTGGATGGAGCCTGGGGCAGTGGGAGAAGGTGGGTGGATGGGACTAGGTGGGAGTCCCCAGCTGATCTCTGCCCTCTGCAGATGAAGAGCTGTACGCTGGCGTCTACATTGACTTCATGGGTACGGACGCAGCCATCTTCCGCACCATGGGCAAGCAGACAGCCATGAGGACAGACCAGTACAATTCACGCTGGCTCAACGGTGAGTTTGGGTGTCACTGGCCCAGGTTTCCTGGGGACCCCACGGCTCCAGCCCTAGAGAGGAGACTCGTCATGTCATACTGCGTCCTTTTCCCAGGGCAGAGACAGTAGCCAGTATGGACAGGCAGATGGGTGGTGGTGTGGAATGGATGGGTGGTGGTGTGGGATGGATAGGTGGGTGGATGGATGGGCGGACAGATGATGGATGGACAGATGATGGATGGACAGATAATGGATGGATGGGTGGATGGATGAATGGATTGGTGTATGAGGGATGGATGGATGGACGATGGATGGATGGGTAGGTAGATGGATGGATGGGTGGATGGATGGATGGATGGATGGATGGATGGATGGAAATCTAGGCAGAAGAGCAGAGGGATAGCTGTGTGGAGCATGGTGACAGACATGCTGGGAGCTTTGCTGGGCGGCGGGAGCAACCAGCTGGTGAGAGATGGGGCTGGCTCTGCCGGAGTCCACGCATGGGTTTCTGCTGGGCTGAGATGTCAACCATGTCGCCTGCGATCGGTGACCCCAAGCGCTCATCCTGCCCCCCTCGGAGCAACCCTGCCCGCGGGGCGGCAGCTGAGTAAACAGAGCAGAGCAGATGGGCTGATCCTGCCGGGCCAGGGAGCCGGCAGGGTGGTAACCCGAAGAGGGGGAGCTGTCAGCACAGGCTGGGCACCGGCTGATGGATGGCAGGGAGAAGCTTCCTGAGAAGCTTCCAGGCTGTGTGGTTCCTCCCCAGGGGGGAAGACCAGTTCCCACCGCCCTGCTCATAGAGCTGCTGGAGCCTTCCACCCTGTGAACTTCAGGGATGCTCCCAGGGACCTCAGGGATGCTCCGAGCCCCTCCCAGAGCACCGATGATCACCAGAGACACACGGATCCTCAGTCCACCTCTGTAGCTCTGGTCCAGCTCCCATGCTCACCCTGCAACCATGGCAGTGCTTTTCCAGGAGTGGGGCGATGCTGGAGGAGAGGGGGGCTCAGCATCCCACCGTGGCATGGGGCAGGGATGCTGCTGGGCCGACCATGCCGTGCCATGCCCTTCCAGACCCGGCCTTTGTCCGTGCCCAGCTCATCCCCGACAGCAGTGAGAGGAACGACGACAAGCTCTACTTCTTCTTCCGAGAGAAGTCGGCCGATGCCCCGCTGAGCCCTGGGGTCTACTCCCGCATTGGACGCATCTGCCTGGTAGGTGGAGCGGTGGGCAGGCAGGGGAGCGGGCAGCGGGGCAGGCAGGGCTGACCGCGGGGGTCCCTCCGTTGCAGAACGACGACGGGGGCCACTGCTGCCTCGTGAACAAGTGGAGCACCTTCCTGAAGGCCCGGCTCGTTTGCTCCGTGCCGGGACCGGATGGGATTGAGACACACTTTGATGAGCTCCGTGAGTGGGCGAGGCGGGAGCCGGGGGCCTTCTGCAGCCCTGCGGGCTTGGGGGACACCCTGGGGAGGGCTGAGGACCCCCTGGGTGCCCCCCACCTCTTACTTCTCCCACGCGGAGCTGCTCTCCCCCCTACCTCAGCATCCCTGGGCATGAGGGGGGTCTCGCCTCCCCCATGGTGACACCCCCATCTTTCTGTCCCAAGAGGACGTCTTCATCCAGCAGACTCAGGACACCAAGAACCCTGTTATCTACGCTGTGTTCTCTGCTTCGGGGTAAGTGCTGACCCCCCCAGCATGGAGCAGTGGAGGGGTGTCCCCAGCTGGGTGGGGGTCTTGGTGATGCCGTGGTGGCGGGCAGCGCCAAGCCAGAGGGTGGCAGCAGGTCCTTCCTCCCAGGTCGGTCTTCAAAGGCTCTGCTGTCTGCGTCTACTCCATGGCCGACATCCGCATGGTCTTCAACGGGCCCTTCGCGCACAAAGAGGGACCCAACTACCAGTGGATGCCCTACACGGGCAAAATGCCCTACCCCCGGCCAGGCACCGTAAGTACCCCCCGGGCACGCTTGGGGAGGTGAGCCGGCGCCTGCTGGGCAGCCATCACCCTCGGACTCATGTCCGGATACCGGGTCACCGAGCACTGGTGACATTTGTGCTGCAGTGCCCCGGGGGGACCTTCACCCCATCCATGAAGTCAACCAAGGATTACCCTGACGAAGTGATCAACTTCATGCGTGCGCACCCGCTGATGTACCACGCCGTCTACCCCACCCCCCGCCAGCCGCTGGTGGTCCGCACCAACGTCAACTACCGCTTCACCACCGTGGCCGTCGACCAGGTGGATGCAGCAGACGGGCGCTATGAGGTGCTTTTCCTGGGCACAGGTACCCACGCCGCGCACCGCGGGGAACGCAGCATGCTCCGGCGCGGCCCCGGAGGGCACGGGCACCACCAGGGCTGGCCAGAGCACGGTGCCCTCCGCCACACTGGAGCAGGGCGAGGGGCTGAGACACCCTTCCCCTCCCTCCCGAGATCCCTGCCCCTCCTCGAGGCTCCAGCCTGGTCTTTCCCCTGCCCCGGTGCCCATCCCACGGACCTCACCATCCAGCCTGCTCCTTCCCCTGGCCTAGTTCTTGTCCCCAGGGCCAGCGATCCAGCATGATACCTCCCATCCCAGGGATGCCACCGTCCAGCCTGGTCCTTTCCCAACCCTAGTGCCCATCCTACAGGCTCTGTGATCCAGCCTCATGCTTCCCATTGCCCATCCTAAGCCCACCATCATCAAGCCTCATGCTTCTCCTGCCTGACTGCCCATCCTAGAGGCGCCAACACCCTGCCCTGTCCTTCCCCAGCCCCAGTGCCCATCCTGGGGGCACTGGTGCCCAGCCTGGTGCTTCCCCTGCTCTAACATGCAACCCAGAGCTCCCGTGATCCATCCTGGTCCTTCCCCTGCCCCGGTGCCTGTTCCCAGCTGCTGTCCCCACCCTGTCTTGGGTGGTAGCAGTCCCTAGCTCATGTACCACATGAGCTGGTACGCTGTACGCCGCACACCAGGCACAGCTGCCCGATGTGGCAGGAGAGATGGGGATGGGCTTGGGGGGGTGTCCTTCCTCCCCCCAGCTCCAGCAGAGACCCCTTTCCCAGGAGGGGAGGGCACGGGTGGCCAGGGGTGGTACTGAGCACCTGGGCACCGTTGTGTCTTGCAGATCGGGGCACCGTGCAGAAGGTCATCGTGCTCCCCCGGGATGACATGGAGACGGAGGAACTCATGCTGGAGGAGATCGAGGTGTTCAAGGTAAGGGCTGGCCTGTCCTCCACCCTCCGCTGAGGGCCCTTGACCCAGCCAACCAGCCCCTTGGGACATCAGCCAGCCCCTTGGGACACCAACCAGTCCTTTGGGACACCAACCAGCACCCTGGGACTCCAGCCACCCCTTGGCTGGCTCTGGAGGGACCCCAAGCATTGGTCATCCTGCCTGCCCGCCCCTGCCCACCTCTGCTGCCTGGGGGGGCTCTGGGGTGCCCACCCCGGGGCTGCAGCGCCAGGGCAGGTGGTCACCTCTCCATCTCCTTCACTCCTGCTCCCATCTAGGTGCCAGCACCCATCAAGACGATGACCATCTCCTCCAAGAGGGTGAGTCACAGCGTGTGGTGGGGGCCCAGGCAGATCCTACCACTGGCCCAGCCACGGCGCTGCCCAGTGTCACCGCAGCACCAGAGCGGCTGGTGGGGAGGCATGTGGGTGGTCGTAGGGCAACCTGGCTCCGGTGGCTCTGGTGTCTTGGCTGGTCCCGGTACCGGGAGGCTGCAACTCATTCTGGGGGGTCCTTACAGGGTGGGAACGAGATAACATCTCACCCCGTCCTCTTTGTGCCCCCCAACAGCAACAGCTGTACGTGTCCTCGGCGGTAGGAGTGACCCACCTGGCC